TCATGCCCCTGCGAGAGGGCAGAGGTGCGTCCTCGACCTGCCTGGCAGAGGAGACGCGCTGTGGGCAAATCTCCAGGAGAGGCCAGCTAGCGATGGCTGCAAGGTAGGGTGGGAGCAGGCGCCTGGAGGCCTCGGGGTCCGCTTCCAGCTCTGCCACTGACTTCCTCGGTGACCTTGCACTGCCCTTTTGCCCTGCCTCAGTTTCCCCACCGGGAGGATGCTTGGTAGGGCTGCAGGGTGTAGGTGACTGGAAACACGCGTGTGTGACGCCCGTGACCGTGCGTGGCGGCGGGGCGAGGGATGCTGGCATCGGGGAGGCTTTGCCCCAAGGCAGGGCACTGTCAGGCCTGGCAGAGGGGCACACAGCGGCCGGCTTAGCTGGGGGAAGCCAGGAATTGGGCCCCGGGCCCCGGGGGCTGGCACAGCGCCGGGGCGCTTGGGTGGGCTCTGAGCGGGGACCCTGCTCCGGGAAGACTCGTGGCTGCTCCCTGATGGCAGGGGGGCCGTGTCCTCGCATGACCTGGGAGCCTCCGGTGCAGGACGTCTTGCTGACCGGGTGCCAGGTCCCAGCCGGGCTGTTTGCCCTGCTCCAAGGCCGTCCCTGAGCGCCGTCGGCTCGGAGCGCAGGGGAGCGGGGAGAAGAAGGGCACCGAGTGACGCAAGTGTCTTATGTCACCGCACCGTCTTGGCACTAATCTCATGGCAAACAGCCGGCAGGGGGAGGGGTGTGACTTTCCAGGCAGCCTGTGTGTTTACCGTGGCCTGGATCAGTTGCCATGGGGAGGTACACAGAGGAGTGTGCAGACGGCTGGGGCTGTTCCCTCGCCCGGGCGCAGCGCGGCCCGGGCCGGACGTCCTGGGGCAGCCGCGCGGGGCCGGCTCTTCCCGCCTGAGGTTTGCGGCTGACTTCAAGAGGAGAAGGCCTGGGCTCGTGGACCTCTCTGGCGCAGTCTACAGTGCGCGTACTCGTGGACGCACACGCGCAGGTGTGCGTGTGCATGCCCAGCTGCATGTGCACCTCACGTGTATGTGCACACACATGTGCACGCGCAGTTGTGTGGATGCATGGTCTTCTGTGTACGTGCGTGGGCTTGCGTGCACGTGCGCAGTTGTGTGTACATGCGCATGCATGGACACGTGTGGATTCATGTGCAGTGGTGTGTACACAGGGACACTCTAGCACACACGCAGACCCGCTGTGTTACACACACACTCGCGTGGGTGCACAGGCTCCCTCAGCCGGGCGTCATGCTCATAGGGACGAACACACGTGCTTGTCCGTGGCCCTCTTAGACGCGTGCGTACATGGAGGAAATCCGTGACGCACGCTAGGAGCTGGAGCGGCCTGAGACCAGCACTGCAGGGTGCAGGCTTCTTCCGTGGCCCCTGCCCCAATGGGGACCCCAGCTCTGGCCCGAGGGACTCCACCGCGCTCCACGCTGGAGGCCACGCGGGCTAGCTGTGCCGTTCCTCCCTCGAGAGGAGCAGCCTTCTGGCGACTTGGGGCCACGAGCACGGCCTCCAGGCAGGAGGATTGCAAACTGGTGCTGGGCTGCGCGTGGCCCGATGGAGGGGCTGGGACAAGCCCCGGCTCTGGCCGCAGGCGGGGTGGCCGGCTGTTGGCCTCGTGCGGGTAAGGCTGGAGAGCAGGAGTCAGGACTCCTGGGTGCTGCTGCTGACTCTGAGCTGTAAACCGCAGGTAATAAACCCCTCCCTGCCCGGGCTGGAGCTAATTGCATCCAGGATCCTCGTTTCAAGGGGCTGGGGGAGGCAGCCCAATCTTCATAATGACACCTTACAGCAGAGATCTGTCCTGAGCCACCTACGTGGCTTGTTGTTTTGGTGCTAATTGCTGGGTTTGAGCTGGGGCAGTTACACCTTGTTCCTGCTGCACGCCAAGGTGACACTGTCCTCCGCCGTGCCCCTGAGGAGCCCTTTTAGTTTGTGAAAGGGGGAAACGCAGCCAAGCGTTTGCATTTGGGAACAAACCAAAAAGCCCAGCCGGTGCCCAAAGGGTCTGCGAGGGGCTCTTGGCCAGGAGGCGCTGGCGTGCGCTGCCACCTGCCACAGGACTTGCCCCGTGCTACCTTACGAGATCGTCCTTGAGTCCGAGGGGCAGGGAGCAGTACGTCCCAGGAAGTTCTGGGGTAAAGCACTTGAAGGACGTGGCTTGGTTTTTACCACCGATGCCATTTTGACCTGCTTCGGTGTCGCCAGCAATTGCTCTGATTCAGCAACGTGTTCCTGCACAAGCGTACGTATTCATCTCGAATAGATTTCACGTTCCAGGTCAAATGAGCTAAATCCCTTCCAGATCATATTGACTGAGCACAACTCGGTCATCCCAAAACCCGCATTGACCGAGCGGGCAGAACTCAATCATTTTCAACATCATGTACAGCGCGACAGCCGGCGAGCATCCTCCGTCCCAGCCTCTCACCCGGGGCTTCAGATGCTCCCAAATCCAGTGGCAGGCATCCTACGTGCAGGCTCAAGCCCAGCGGTCTTGGGGTTCGGACACCCCCAGATACTCCAGGCAAGCATCGTCCATCCCAGACTCTCAAGACTGGGACTTCGGATCCTTCCTTCGCTTGATCTTAGCCCACGAGAGGCCGAGAAGCGATACTTAAGCAGGCGCTTAACCCGTAGCAATGCCCAGGTGCATAAAGGCAGACGCTGCGATCCCCACGGCAGCACCGCGGCTCTCTCTGTACGTTGATTTAACGACGCT